TGTGCTGCTCTGTATGGATCAAAAACATTACGGGCTTTAAGTATGTATTATTTTTTGATTTTTAATCTTTTTCTGATATTATGTTTTTTTGAAGCCTTAAAATTGCACTATTTTGATCTTTCATGTATTTTTTGTGTTAATTTTTCTATTTTTTGTAATATTTTTCAATTGTTATAATTGCACTGTTTACGAAAGGAAATAATAATAAATAACTATTTGTGCTTTAAATACTTCTTCTGCTGTCTATCGGTCAAAATGAAACTTCAGTCTCTAGAATATCTTTCATTTTACTTAAGATTTTTGTTATTAATTTATGCCCCTCCCAGCAAAGAAGGCATGATAGAAATCTTCAAAACTACACTGTATTTATTATTTTTTAGAGTTAGTTTCTATTTTTCGATTTTAGGAGTACATTGTTTTATAAATGTTTTCAGCTTTTTCGTATTTTTAGTACTGTAATTTAATAATTTTGAGGGTGTGTTAAAATACTGCGTAAAAAAAATTTTAAATTGCATTGTTTTTTATAAATATTTTAATCTCTTTTATATTTCTTATTGTTTTTGTATACAAATAACCTAAAATTTAGTATAGTAATTTTTTTAAATTTGAGAGTGCTTTAACATATTTTTAAAAGGGTCAAAATGTTTATATTGAGCAGCATGTTTCCTGTAGGAAACAGACATTTTTTAGACAGGTGTTCATGAAATAAACATCTATTTATTAAAAAAAAATGTATTCTATAGTATAGGACACATAATGCTTCCTCTAATACTTTAAATGTTATTGTTCTTGGCCAAGAACACGCAGTATTTGATGCAGTTGATATTGCCAACGGTCATCAAGCTAAAGAATTCGAAAAAAAGCTTATTCTTATAGAAACAGCAGTGATCTTTTCTGCGAGAAATGGATTTCATCTAAGAAGTCATCGTGATTCTGAGTAAACAAATATAAATAATGGATTGTTTGATTTTCATCAGAGTGAAGGAAACTTTCGCCCTCTCCTTCAAATTTCGCACAAAAGCAGCAGCTTACGTATTAAAAATTGCAACGTATATTTCACTAAAAACGAATAAAAAAAGATTATTGGAAAACGGAATGCAAGCAAATGCATCTTAATTATGACTATGAAGCTACTGACATTTCTTTACAAGAGAGTGGGCGAACTTTTGTAGAGACATTAGGTAATTTTTTGGAGGCAGAAGAGATGAAAAATTAGCAACGCCTTCGCCGGAAATCGAATTACGGACCTCTGAAATACCGGCTCAGTGTGCTGATCACTACACCACGAAGGAACACGCTAGAAAGGCGGGAGAAATACCTTACATACTCCCCCTTTTAAAGGGCGACTGGAGTTTTTTAGGGGACCCAATAGCCAAATCCTGGGTGTGGAGAGTCATCATCCAAAACCCTTTTAGTTCGGGGCCACTGTAGAGACATTAGGATTTTTTGGAAGCAGGCAAGATGAAAAATTAGCTACGCCTTCGCCGGGACTCGAACCACGGACCTCTGAAATACTGGCTCAGTTTGCTGACCACTACACCACGAAGGTATGCTAGGAAGGCAGGAGAAATACCTTACACTTTAAAGAAAAACTATCAATAGGAATTTTTTTACATTTCTTACATGTAATGTCATACACGAAGAAGATTTGAGTAATTAATTCCATTACAGGTAATTTTGCATAACAGGTTTAAATGTGAAATACCTAAGGGCTCAAGGCAATTATTGTACCACAGCCATACCCTAGATATTCAAGGACGTTCAAGCTAAACTGAGAGAAAAATATCCTTCAACACTGTGTGAGCATTGTGCCTCTAATTCCCTCAATTCCTGATACATGTCGCATTAAAAACATTTCTAATTGCATGTGATCAATAGAAAATGTTATTTTTCGTGCAGAAGGAAATTCTACTTTCCAAGAAAGTCTATTAAATTTGTGCTGATCTTCAGAATAGAATATCCGAAAAAACTTTGTCCCACTCGTTGGGTAGGGAGAAACAAATCTCTTATCGTTATGGTGCAATTACTTAAGCATTTAGTTCATGCCTAGTTTTAAATCTGTTCATTTGATTAACCTTAATGATGCTGAATCCATCGGCATTCAGCTCTTTTTTAGTTTCAACCGTGGTGCAGTCAGCTAGCCTCGTAAAACTATTTTTACTTGCTGTACTTTTTTGGCATGTAATACATAATGTTGGATACTATTACCTTCCAGGTTTCTGGTGATCTCCTGGTGATGGTAAACGATAAGTGGTAATAATTTTAAGAATTCTCCAAAAATTATAGCAGTGAAAGCCACATTTAGTTCCTCGTTGATTTTTTTTTTTTTTTTGACAAAGTCACTGAGTTTAAGCGGAGGAATAACCGTACTCAATGTAATCCTTAGTTTGAGTAAATCGCTGCCCTGGTGGTCATTTTCAGAATTTTCACCTCTAATATTTTCAGCGCGAATAGCATTCATATAAACACTTATTTTCACTATTATCAAGAGTTGCAAATTTGTTAGAGCTTTTAACATCCACGTTATTCTTAAGGATTTTGCGTGCCGGGCGGTCTTCCTAGGGATGGAAAATCCATCCGAGCACGTAGTTTTTTTTCCTGCGCTCGTTTTTTTCGAACTGACCTTTGTTTTAGACCAGAATTTTACCTACATTAGCGCCATATTGGCAAGATCAGAAAAAGTACATCTTCAGATGTACCAGGTTCATTAGCACAAATGGAAATAATTACAGGTTTCTTAACATTGTCAACAGACATTTTGCCTAGTACACAACTTTCCTTACTATTAAAATTACTTACATTAGCATGAACTACATTAGAATCAACAATAATAGAATTATCATATGCCTTATAATTTTCGCACTTTCCTTTCATATTGTTAAATTTGGCTTCCAGATCCTTAATTTGTCCTTCGTCGTACATCCGATGAGATATATAATCCACTCCGGAATTAGCTAAAGACTGACACGCACTGCAAAGTTTCTCCGCAAAGTCCAACGAGTGTTTAAGGAAATTTACAGTACTGGTGAAATCAAAGGGATCGAATTCTTTTCCGGCTATCGAATTCTTTTCCGACTATCAAATCCTTCAGAATATCATCCATATCCTCAGAATCCATTTCTAAGTCACCACACGAATCTTCTTCTCTATCCAAATTTAAATCCAATCCTTCAGAATATCATACATGTCCTTAGAATCCATTTCTACGTCACCACACAACTCTTCTTCTATATCCCAATTTAAATCCAACTCATTATTACTTGCCATAATTTAAAGCACTGAACACCAAATAAGGCATTCAGCAAGAAAATATAGCACAGTCGTAGAATAGCGAAAAAAGTGCTCACTGAGGAGTTCTTTAAAAACATGACCTACTCCTATTATGTCCAACATTAGAATCCCCAATATATCAGTTCTTGAATGGAATCTTTCACTCAAAAGAACATTTGATTCAATCTGAAGAAATATTAAATGTTTGAATAAAAGAATTAAAAGAAACGAATAAAAGAATATATTAGGATTTGAGAATAAATAGAATGAATTTGCTATCCAAACTGAATACGAAGGGTAATATGAAATGCTTTTAAATTTATGTTTTTCTGATTTGTAAGATTGTAACTATTGGTATTTAAACGCTAAATACCAACTTTGGCAAAGAAACTGCAAAATAGTTTATCTGTAGTTGAAGCTTTAGAGACCAGCAACAGAGATTTTTCCTGATACTTACAAACTTTTGAAAATTTTAACATTGTCAATTACCACTTATACTGGGAAAAGAGGATTTTCTATGCTAAAATAACTAAAAAAAATTTTACGAAATAGATAGTGTCATTTAAATGGATTGTGTTTGTTGTATATATACAAAAATATGCCTGTAAAAAGTTTTAACCGATTTTCCTTTTTTTAATGTTAATCCAAAAAACTCTGCATTACTAGATAATTTACATAAATTAAAAAGATTCTTTTAAAAGTATCTTTAACCTGAGAAAATAATATAAGTATTTTTGCATTGTGATTGATATTTTATTAGATTTTTTTATTAAACTTTCTTCTTTAATAACGTAACAATAGAACTACAATTGAATGAATGCCATGTATTATATTCAAATAACTCGATATAATTGCTGATATATGACTTTTAGAATAAATGCAATTTTTAAATGGCAAAATTATAAATATGAAAAATTGCGCAAGTCAGTTTTACGATGGTAAACCTCCAAAATTCAATTCTAAGTATGCCTCTTATTTAAGCATGAGGCTTTATTATTTTATGTTTTTAGATGTATGGTTGGACCATTTAAGTCTTTGATTTAAGTTTGACCCTCAATGGTTGAATCTATTAAGAGTAGGAACCGGACGCCGAATAAATGCAATTGATTATTAACCACCAAAAGAATGATGATGATGGTTCTTTGATACTCTGTTTCAGCTAGTTTTAGCGCAAGATATCTTTCCTGTAATACTAGCTCTTTAATCTATACTCCATACAGGGGACCAGCATACAAAACTTATAAACTGGATAGCCTAACTGATTAACTGCTACCGAAATCAATGCACAGAGCAAAGTAAACAAGGAGGCTATTCTAACCTCCTTGAAAGTAAACATAATAGTGACGCCATCTTTCGAGAAAATTAGTATTAAATAGTGAAAAACTACAATTTTATAATTCTGACTGAGTTAGGAAAAACTGGATTGGGATTAATGCCATTAAGTAAAGAAGATAATTTTTTGTGAATGTGAGAACCTTCAAAGAAATCTAGTGCACCAAGGGAAATTACTCAGTGGCTAATTTTCGTAGTATATAAAAAATTCAGAAGAATAAAACAAACCCCCCTAAAATTCACGAAAATCTTTTATGTTTGAAAAATCTCTGAAAATGGCTTAAGATTTGCAAAAAGACATCTCGAAAAGGCGTATTCTGTTCGTAAAATCGTAAGCTCCTGCCTTCCGCTACTGTGTAAGCCTCTTAAGTTTATATGAAATTTTGCATGATGGCAATAGATTTTTCAAAATGAGAATAGTTTCGGAGTTTAAAACGGGAAAACATTTCTTGTATGGTAGTGTATTCCGACTGCAGTGTAACCTGGCTTCCTTGTGGTATAAGAAACCTTTTGTTATTGATGTAGCGCATAGTATGGATGTCGATATTGATATCTTCGTTGGAAATAATACATTGCTTGATCCTGAAATTTATGAGATGTGGCTGTCAGGTCAGCAAGGTAAACTGGAATGTAAACAAGTGCATATCGTATTTTCTGTTGCTTGTCTTCATTAGTTGCATCTGTCTAATATTTGTGCAATTCATAACGGTCACGTTGACATCTTGCCTGTCAACTGTGAGCAATCTCGTGGTGTTTAATTACTCACTAAAAGTTAAAAATATAAAAATAGCCTTTTAAAAAATACTAAAAATATTACTATTTAATCCTAGTTATCCGGTGCACACGGGATTTGGCGACTTTATGATGAGCAGTAAAAACGGGACATTCAAAGAGTGTATATACTATACACTGTATATAATATATATAGTGTATATATACACTATATACATAGACATTCTTTGGGTCATTTTTGGTGCTGGCGATAATTTTCAAAATCGCGCTGAGGCTGCACCGTATACTAGGATTTTACCCTAATGTTTAAGACAGATTGTATACTTGTGCTACAGTTTTGTACCAGTAAAGTGATTCAAGTTTTATATAGCCTTTTACGGTTGATCTTTACATTATGGTAACTTGGCGATTTTTGGCGAAAATTTGGCGACCAACTCTCCGACAGCAACCCTCTATTTTTTTTTTTTCGCCGCCATTTTGTCTTCACGAAGTAAAGACATGTTTCTTTTCTTTTTATCTACTGAACACTTCTTCCAACAATCTACTAGCCGAATTACACTTATGCTAGAAATTTTTATCTAACAAAACTGCTTAATCGTGACAAATATTCACTGCAAAATTGGGAAAAAGTGCACAATACCATACTCCTTACGCGTTTTTCAAAATAAACACATACCACATAAACCATGTACACGCCGACTTATTTTTACTTAAAAAAACATCCCAGAATTGCACAAAAAATGGCATTGCGCACACTCTTCACTATATCCATGTACACTGCTTTTTTCTCATAGATTAGAAAAATTTCACGAAAATACATGACAATTTTCTGAATCTTTAAACACGGTAAAAAGAACATATATGAAATTACCTGATCTCGAAAAAGTATATACCCTTTCCAAATATGAACATTTCCACATATAAAATAAATAAAATATCCAAAAACTTTTACCTCTAAATCATCTATTATATTATACACGTCACCAATGAATTCATACTGCATTACAAATACTTAGTGTCAAATATTTAAATTATTTCCATGCACGTTTACTTCAACTTAAACGTATACCAAATTCCTACAAACATAAAATTCACAAAATAACTATCATTTAATTAAAATATCACTAAACCATGTACACGTCGACTTATTTTTACTTAAAAAAACATCCCAGAATTGCACAAAAATGGCATTGCGCACACTCTTCACTATATCCATGTACACTGCTTTTTTCTCATAAATTAGAAAAATTTCCCGAAAATGCATAACAATTTTCTGAATCTTTAAACCCGGTAAAAAGAACATATATGAAATTACCTGATCGCGAAAAAGTATATACCCTTTCCAAATATGAACATTTCCCCGTATAAAATAAATAAAATATCCAAAACCTTTTACCTCTACATTATCTATTATATTACAAACTTCACTAACTAATTCATACCGCAAACATTACAAATGATTACAAATACTTAGTGTCAAATATTTAAATTATTTCCATGCACGTTTACGCAAATTACTTTACTTCCACCTTACATTTAGAACAATGCATAAAAATAATATCCTCAAATAATTAAAAATACTAACTTCTTCAGAATTCAAATAACAAATTCTAACTAAACTATTCTTCTTCAGAATCATGATTACGTGTCCGATAAACTTTTCTTATTTCTGTTTCAGGGTCTTTAAAATCATACTTATAGTTCACACCAAGGTACCAGGTAAAATAAATAACTTAATAAAACATCTTTACTTCTATCTCGCACAACCTTAAAGAAACACTTATTACTACCCCTTTCAATCCCACTAAATACCCATTTCGAATTCACTTTAGTTAGTGCCATGGGATCCAAAAATTAACGAACACTGTTTCACACAACACAGAATAAAGCCAAATACAAAATTTCCAGATTTTTTCCCGATTTCCCCCCTCTTCCGATTAAAGAACTGTAATTCGTCTATTAATATCACATGACATTGCCCATGATCTCTCATTTCCCTCACACAAAATAATGCGTAATCGGAACTGAATACTGCTCACATTATTACCAAAGTCACAGGTAGTACCTTTATCGCCAAACTACCAGTTACCATATTCTAAAGATCAGCCACAATATAATTACACATTATTTTCCATTATGTATTATGCACTTAGAAACAGGAAAACCTGTGCATTTTCAAGCAGGAAGTGTAGTTGTTCCTGAAACTTTAACTATATTGTACAGTGTTATGAAGTACCGATAGTCTTTTCTCTGCAGGTACAATCTCTGCGCTTCTTAAATTTTGCTGCCGTGTTTTTCGTAAATTCTAATGATTTAGCTATGTGTACAGCCACACCAGCTCCATATGTGTATTTAATTCTAGGCCTTGATATTTGCAAAACAGGGTTTCATTCAAATATTTCACAAGCTAGTGATTTACATTGCTTATAGTATATTTGTAAGGGATTTTTGGCTAATCTTTGGAATATGGTAACAGGTAACATGGCGACATTTTGGTAAGGCGATAAAGGTTACTAGCTAGGACTTTAGCAGTGTACATGGATTAAGTCAAGAGTGTGTGCAATGCCATTTTTTTGCAATTCTGGGATTTTGTTTAAGTGAAAATAGGTCAACGTGTACATGGATGATACCGTGTATGTGCAATTCTTAAAAACGCGTCAAGCAGTGGGCGATTCTGCACTTTGTCCCAATTTCACACCTAATCTTTGTCATGATTAAGCACTTTTCTTCCAAGTTCTAGCATAAGCGTAATTCGGCTAGCAGATTGTTGGAAAAAAATGTTGAGTAAAAAAAAAAAAAAACATGCCTTTACTTCGTGAAAACAAAATGGCATGCAAACAAAAACTAGCAGGTTGCTGTAGCAGGGTTGGTCGCCAAAAAATCGCCAAGTTACCATAATCTAAAGATTAACTGGATTTTATCCTTCCTCACTTCATGGTGTAAGTAGTAGCAACTATGTGTAGCAATAAGTAGTAGCATCTGTGTGTAGCAATAAGTAGTAGCATCTGTGTGTAGCAATAAGTAGTAGCAACTGGTTCACAGATAGGAGATAGGTGCAGTTGATTTCTTAATTTTCCTATCTTCGAAAAAACACAAATAGCTCTTCAGGTAGCACCTGACTTAAAATATGGTGGATGATAATTTGTCACTATGGAGATTTTGTAGCTAGGTCTCCTTTTTCTCCAGTCCTACTTTGAATGGGTGAGAATGTAAGGAATATTTGTCTTTCACATCATCTGCTTGAGTGATAAGGGATAGGGTACCTGAAGTTTGAATCCTGTTAAGAGCTTAGCTGATTTTTCGTGTTTCCAGTTTTCCCAAAGCCTAATACTCTATGTATGTACCTATGTAATTATGTTATGCAATTAAAAAAGTCTGCAACAGGGGTTGAGTATGGAGTCCAGTATTTGGTATTTTTTCCTGTCAGTATAGATTTCTGAGTATTTCTGATTATCTGCACCCTTGTTTTCAGCATTTGATAAAACTGATGTGGTGTTTTTAATGTTTTTCTAGTGCTCATGTAAGGAGCCAACCCACACATGACCTTATTATTTCCATGCTTAAGTGCACATGAATCTACATGCTTTATATTTAACTACTATTTTGCTGAGCATTATCCACAGTCTGCAATAATGTAAATATCAGCTGTAAATATGTAATATAAAACCATAATAATGTAAATATCTCATAAAATACCACACTTTGTTAAATAATTTTTTTAATTATTATTTATGAACCAAAATATTAGATAAACAAGGATTTTTCACCAATTCACAAAGGTGCCGACTCGTTGACAACTTTTAAGGAGCTGTAAGTAATCTGAAAATACCAGACCAGTTTTTATCCTGTCCACTAAAAAAGAAAATAACAAACTGTGACAGAATTTATTCTTTGCTAACTTTGTAAACTGTCATGATAAATTAATTGAAAAATTTATTTCTTGAAAATTATTACCAATAGTCAATGCACTTGAGATATCTGGATGGAAATCAGAAAATGTTTCACAATTATTTAAGCTAAAACTAAAAACAAGAAGTTATTGTTATGCAGTATCCATCATTATTTAGTTTTTCTTTCCATATGTAGTAATATAAGATGTTAGAATTGCCAGTATTGGGGGTGGACTGAGGGACTTAGCAGTGTTAGACAAGATAAAAATGGAAAATTTAAAGGGTAATTACATATTAGTGAAATCCCTGGCACAGCTTTAGTATTAGTCCTTTTGGGCACGATTAATGAAAAATTGTGACAACCCTGTTATTTATGGTAAACCTAAATACTGAGCTGAAGCATGTGTTGCCATTTCTACCCACATAACTTTGATGAACTTTCCTTCAATGAGTAGTGAATTTTCTTGATCAAAAACACTCACTTAAATTATTGAAAACTGTAAACCCATCTTGCTGTCTTCGGAAAATATGATTTGTTTGCTTAAAAAATTAAAATTTTGCTGGTTTTCTTATTGGGGTTTTGCACAACCCACTTATGCGGTAGTGTTATAAATTTTTATCTATGCATACTAGTGTTGAATGTAATTATTATAAAGTTTAGATATAGTCTTTGCAATCATATAATGTAACTAAACTTTAGTTAGACATTAAGTGAATTATCGCTACGTCTAATGTAACAACTAAATCATGAGAAGGGTGTAAAAGATCCTTTTTTAAAACTAAATAAGAACAGAAGGCACAATTTGTGCTTGCGATTCAGCCAACCACTTATGACAAGATAACTTATAACAATAAAGTTCAAATGCAAAATTTTAATTCGAATAAACTAGTAACCAAAAGCTACACAAATTAATTTAATGTGAAGTTGGCTCAAAACTTAACCAGCATGGAATTCAACTATTGGCAATTGTAATGCAAAACTGAAGACTACAAATCTTATCTTAACTAGTGCCTTAGTAACATGGCCTTGAAAGGCAAAACAAAAGGGAGGAACGCCGCGGCACGCCATGAATTGGAAGTTGATCAGTCAGCACTATCCTTATCTTCAGGGCAGATGTTTTTATTTTATTTGGCTTATAATTCCTTGCTAAATGTAGTATTTCATCTCGATGTACTCCGTCTTTGATATGATTTAAATCAAATTTCTTGTCATTATAATTCGCTTCCGATAGTGAAGAAAGTGACACAGAGGTTATTGAAAACGAAAAAAATTTCGATTGACAAATTAGTCGGTATTCTCGACACAGCAATTATAGGACTTCAACAGCGGAACTTTGTAACTGAAGAAGAAATTATGTCTGTTTATAGAATTAAAGAGAAAGTATTATCACATAAAACGAAGCAACTTACATTGAAAGAAATGTTTAATAAAGTAAACAAATAAATATTAAGCTTTTTTTTTTTTTTTTTTTTTTTTGTAAATTTTGATACCCATTTATCATAATTGTTCTTTATTTCATAAATTACGGTTTCCTATTTTTAATTTTATAATTTCTGTATGCCATCTTACCAGATTTAAACTGATGATCTATAATCCGGAATCGACGAAGTCCCGACAAGTCCGGATTAACGACTTTTGACTGTATTAACATTTGTATCTATTATTACTACTTTATACAGTTAAAAAAAAAAAAAGTGGAAACTTGTAAAGTTTTATCTAAAGATATAAAGGCCATTTTTAAACCTTTATCTTAGGAGAAATAATGCAGATGTGTGAAAGAAATTTCGTGTTGTATAAATATAAGTATCTAGTTGCAACGAAAGTTTTCCTGCAAAAACATTCTTAATAAAGTTAGAAAAAAACATGAAAATATTACCTTTAGTGTGGGTAGTAATCACCGCCCAAATCTATGCTTTTCTGCCAACGTTTAGGTAGTTTTTCAAAGTCTTCAGCCCAGAAACATATCAACCTCATTTTGGATGTCCTAATGGAAGATAGCTGCAGCAAGATATAACTGCAAGTGTGAAAAAAAGTAGAAATCCAAAGGATCAATGCCCAGGGCTATATGGGAGGCGAGGCAAAAGATGCCATTCGAGTCCGTATAGTGTCCAGCTGGTGAATGCAGACACATGTGGTCTTGCATTATCTTGATGGAACATTACCTTTTTGCGCCAGAACTCAGTTTGATGTTTTTCCTTGATAGCAGCATCAACTCGGACTAGAGTCTCGCTGTACACCTTACTTTCGAGGCTTTTACCTTTTCCCAGATACTCTTTGTGGATAATACCATGGCAATCCCACCAGATTCAAAACCCCCATTTCATTGCATTCAGTTTAACAAATTTAAAAAACTCCACTCAGCAGCCCTTTTTTTTTTTTTTTTTTTTTTTTTTTTTTTTTTTTTAATTCAATACAAGCCACCAGTAACTACTCATTTCAAATTTGTCATGTTTGATTTTCTGGTATGCTATACACATAAGCATTTATTTCAATTATTATGGGATCTTTGATCAACTACCCACATAAATTTATTTCTTTAGATCTGATGTGCTTTATAAATTGATTGGGCTGTTCTTTCGGTAAATAATGTAAAGAATTCTAAAGGCATGAAACTAAAATTATGAATCATGGTCTTTTGAAGTATGTGCTTACCTAATCTTCTTTTTTGCTTTAAATAGTTTGTTGAAGTATAAAAATTATGCTTGAATCTTAATAGCTTTCCTAAAAAATCATATCTCTAAAATCTCTATTTCACTGAGTATCTACATGGAAAAAAATGGAATCCAGCATTTTCTTTGGAGTGGTTAAACATGTATTTTAAAGGTTGTATAGATTATAGTGATGACTGTGTGCATTTAATAATTTTCTTATTCAAATTCTTTTTTGTGTGCTAAATAACAACAGTTTGTTTGATAGTATTTCAACTTCTCCGTGTTTAAAATGAAGATGTTAGCCCTACTATCAAATAAAATTTCGGAACTACTCTTATATATGCCCTCGCTTGGCGACAATTCTCTCTGCCAAAAATATTTTTCGAGAAAAAATATTTTTGGCAAGAAATCAACTTTAAGCCTCAAATGTCTCCAAAAACGCGGTTTTCGCACATGCAAAAACCAGGTTTTGAACACACAATTTAAGCTAAATCCGAAACAAAAAGAAAAAATTTAGATAGCAAAAATGTAAAGTTTCTAACCAAAAAATTTTTGACAAAAATTCATGTACACAGCGATATGTTTTAACTTAAAAAATTATCGCAGAATTTCGCAATTCAGGTAGCGAAGGAATCTACGAACTGCGCACATCTAGCTTATGTAAATTAACATAACAGTAATAAATTTCAAAGAATACCATATACACATCATTCTGTTTAAATTTAAAAAAACGTCTGCGAATTGCACAATCTAGGCATCGCATACTAATCAACAAAATAACTAAAATAAATTTCATGCAAATGAACATGTACACAGCGATATGTTTTAACTTAAAAAATGATCGAAGAATTTTGCAATTCATGCAGCGAAGGAATCTATGAACTGCGCACACCTAACTTATGTAAATTAACATAACAGTAATAAATTTCAAAGAATACCTTATACACAGCGTTCTGTTTAAACTTAAAAAACATCTGTGAATTGCACAATCTAGGCATTGCACACTAATCAACAAAATAACTAAAATAAATTTCATGCAATCAAAAAAAAAAAAAAAAAAAAAAAAAGAACAATAACGACAGATATTCATACTAAAAAAACAATGAACATAACATTCTACGAAATAACAACAAGAATAAAATAAAATGCTCTTGCCATGAATGAATGCTTCTTTGAACAGCAGAAATACCAATTTCGAACATCGGCAAAACAATTTCACCACAAATTTGTTAAAAGCACCATCTTGCGTTTCAGAACAACGATGGAAAAATATATAAACCACCAAATAAATAAAACACAAAATCGCATTTCCAATTATAAGTAGGCAACATAGCTTTAACATGCCACCACGTAATCTCTATCATATTTATATGACAGCCAGACTCACTATCCACAAAATTGATACCATCTTTCAGAAATAAATGTTCAAAATCTTCTTCTCCTAAATACTTGTAGATTTTCCAACCACCTGGAAAAGTAGTTGTACCAGGCATGCGACTAAAATTTTGCCAACACATCATAAATCACTTAATTACCACACACCACACGAACCAACTAGCAAATCCAAGTTTCCACTTAAAAAGGTTTGCTATAGAAACCAACATCGCCCCCAAAACCATCACAGAACGCTCAGTCGCACCAAATACCAGAGCACAACACATATCGCTGCATTTGGCGACCTGAGGGAGCATACAAGAGTAGTACCAAAGTTTGCAATTTTGTTCTCTACTTTTTACCTTAAAGTCTGTCAAATGTCCATAACAAAAGTATTGAACAGACAAATTTGCATTACATAGCTTTCATCACAAAAAAGAACATCAAATGTTTCAGTTTGATTGAAAATTCAAGACAAAAGATTGAATACAATAATTTGAATAGTTTTTATTTATAATATTTTATTTAATATTCACACGTTATACTTTCTATTTTAAAGGTACAAATAATTTTTGTATAATTCTTTTGTTAATTTGTGCAATATATTTGTGTAAATAATAAGTTTTGGACGCTGTGCATTTCTGTTAATTTTTAATGTAACCATGTTATATTTTTATATAATAGTATCAATTTTGTTCTCAGCTTCAGAAGGAGCTACTATTCTAATCAATGGGTCATTAAAAGAATTTGATATTGACTTCAGCATGCTTCTCAGTGATGTTTTAGATCATTACAGAACATTTCAAATGCTAGAGCGATTATTGCATTATCCAAGACGGTTAACTGAGCAATGGATATTTCAAATTGCTCCTAGTATGCAGCGTATGTTAATTGAAAGGTATTTGTTCATGAATTTAAATTTTTTATCCATTCTTGTAACCCTTCTAACAGTTCTTTAATATTTTATATATGTTTAAACTCAGTAGCAGTTATGTATGAGTGATTCAAAAAAAGAGAATGGATCTTGGATTTACTGGGTTACTCACAGAAATTTAAGGAAAAAAATAAAAGGCCGATCAGCCTAATACTTCATGGAAGGGGAGCATGGAATGAAAAAAAAAATTAGAAATGTGCAAAAATATTTTGTAGGCAGAAAACACCATACGTCCTGCAGAAGGGTCCATAATTTTGCTGTAATCAGAGGTATAAGGTTCCATAGTGTTTTGTGTAGCATCCTAGATGATAACATTGAACTGTGGTAATTTAGCAGTGGGACAACTCAGCATTTATTTAAGAAATCTAAACTTAATTTAGTATCTCTAGATGTCTGCGGCTGTGCATTTGTCTTAAAAAAGAGCAAACTTATCAAATGAAAAGTAAGGTATGAATGGATGCATATCGTCAGAAAAGAGACACATTTCTCATAGACACATGTAGACATTTGATAGGTCTCAATGAATTCCAGCTTAAGAAACTTCACACCACTTTCTTATTGACATGTGGTGTCTATTCATTCATAAAGCTTTTTCCACATACAGATCTGTCAATCTGCCCAAAATAGTAGAAAAACATTAATGGTGTGACTAGGCTTCTTGTTTCCAGTTATACATCCTAGTGTTCAAATTAGCAAGCTGTGTAGTTCTGTATCTTGCATTCATCAAAGTTACTTTGGTTGGATGTTTGTTTAATGCAAGGGTCTATCATATCACCTAGGCCTCACAATCCTCACACTGAGATTTCTCAAGGCCCCAGCATTAAATTGTAATGTTACTCAAGTCAGTGTTATAACTCTGTCACATAAAATTATACTTTTGGGCTAATGCTGGTAGTTTTAGAGCCTCTGTTTTTGCAAGTTCAAAGTTTTTCTGGAATTCTTACACACCCAGCACATTCTTGAAATAGTTATATGAAAATTCAAATTCTGCCTTTGCATTTTGAAGTGTCTCGTATGCAAATATAGGAAAATAACACCTTTCTGACCCCAATAGAATCAATATTTTATTCAGTACAATGTTATATATACTTATTCATAATACTTGTTTACTATTTACATGCACATTAAATCACATAATAGAATACCGACCTTTGTTTTTTGTGGAGACAAGAAAAAGTATTGCCATTCTGCTTTAACTAAATCTTGACTGAACTGAAGCGATGCTACACACCCCCCTTCCTAGTGACAGCAATTATGGAACATAGTCTTTAAAGTGACTGGGGAACTTCACATGTCTGCCTGCTCTAGTAGTCTTGGCTTCATGCTGAGTTTCTGAATTTTCTTCAGTGTGCTTGAGTGCAGGTGTTTCCCCAAGTTCTGCTTTTTTGGAATGGGAGTCTTGGAAAGGAATATCAGAATCTTTCACTAGAAAACATGGCTTTAGTCTGTCTATTGAAACTCTTTTAACTTTTCCGTGGATTTCAATATCGAAATACTTATCCGTTCTTGCTCTTACAGGATACGGTTTAGATAGACAGGCTGTAGTGAAGAATTATTAATGCTGTTGTATAGGAATATTGGAGAACAGTTGGAAAGATGTTTAGAAACAAAGACTGTTCTATTTCCATGGTGGTAGTAGGACTTGACTTCATATCTCTTATTATTTTCTGAAGGTTTTGAGAAAATTCAGACTGTTTCATATGAGGTACTGTTGAAAAGAATTCTCCTTTTAATGCTAAAGCGATTCCATGTACAAGCTCTGTGGATGAGCAACCTAAGTCTTCCTTGACTGCAGATCTTATGCCTAAAAGAACAAAAGGCCATGATTTTGATTCGAGTAGATGACATTTGAGGCTTGCTTTTAAAGTTTGGTATTGTCTTTCGATCAGGTCATTTGGCCGTGGATGGTATGCAGTTGTAGTGTTTGTATGAAAACCACGATATTTTCCTATAGCTTGAAAAAGTTGGCTATCAAATTGCCGACCTGGTCAAATGTTATGCGATTCGGAATTCTAAAGCATGAAAACCATAAATCAAAGCTTTAGCAATAGATTCTGCTGGTTGATCTTCTAACGGTACTGCTTTGATCCATCATGTATAACGATCGATGATGGTTAGAAGATATTTGAATCCTTTTTAGGGAGGTAGCGGGCCAAACAGATCTATGTTTAAATGCTGGAATCTGTGTGGAGGTACTTTGCATTTTCCCAAAGATGTCTGTGAACTTTAGATCTTTGGCAAGATAAACATACTCTAGTCCATAGTTTGCAGTCTTTATTCATATTGCAGACTTTAATTCTTGTGGAAGTTGTGGCATATCTTATCAGTGTGGTTTGAAATACATTGGACAAAATGAAAGAGCATTAAAGTTTCACATCAAGGAACTTGAATCTTATATCTGAAAAAGCGAAATTAACAAGTCTTCGGTAGCTAATCATAGTTGGAAATTTAATCAGAGTTTTTCTTACTTAGGCTTTGCAAAAAATTATCCAAAAACCTTCTTCCATTGGTGCATTAGATTTTCTTAAAGGTGTTTACATTCATAAAGATTTAACCTTGTTTAGCTTATGACTTTATTTCTAGTCCATTCCTACCTAGTCCTTCTAAAATACTATTAACTTTAATTTTTATTACCATTACTGCCAACAGATAGTGCTACTTTCTCATTCGCTTTACTCCTTTTGGACACAAATACAACTGTGGCTTTCCCTTCGTTTCAGGTTTCTTTACTCCTGATGAAGAGGGATCTGTGCCTTTTTGCCCTAGAAACTGATAGCCTCAACCAAATCTCTGCCATAAGGTTGTTGCTTTGTTTAATTTTCTGCTTTACTTTGGCATGATTCTCTTCTGAAGCTTTACAGATCCTGAGCAAAACATGGTTAAATTACAAAATAAACAAAATACTGTAAAACTTCAAAAATTAGTTTATAAAAAAACAAGCTTTGGCCATTGATGGAAAAGTACTGGTAGACCACAGAGAAAAACATACAAACTGAAAACATTCAATTCCTGAGGAAACTATTTCTAAATTAATTGAGTTTATCAACTCCCTTGGGAGGAGAAAGTCTCATTATCCCTTAAAAAGGCTAAGAAATTATACCTGCCCAAAGAGTTTAACATCACAAAATTACAGGATATGCAAAACGAACAATCCAGTATTATTATAGGATAAATTCAGAGGTATTTTTAATTCTATGTTTAACATCGGATTCAGTTACTTTGTCTTGTACACTTGTAGTAGACAACACTTGTAGTCTTTGTGGTGCATTAAAAGCTGAGATTGATATACTTGACAACATATTAGAAAAACTTGTGAAGCAAAGATTTGTGTTTGCAAGATTAACAGAAGAAAATGGAAGAGAAAAACTTAGTCACCTAAAAAATTTTTAAATTCTTTTCTTTCATTTTTTTTCGGGGGGGGGCTTGTTTATAATACAAATTTTGTTAAGTAAAGGATGACAGTTTATGATTGTCTTGTTTTCTTTTGCATTGAATAATAAATAAACAAAAAAAAATATAAAAAACATAAAATAAAAATTCATTTTTCTCAAAATTCCTGTCAGTAGAAATAAATGGTTCTTCCCTCCAGGTCTTCATATATCGCATTCAGTTTTGTCTTATGGGGATCAGACTTTTTGTGTTTTATTTTATAATGCATATAAAATTTTTGGAGATATATGCACCAGAAGACTGTGATTTCATAATCTTTTAAAACTGATTTTTTTTAATTGCCAAAACATAAATACTTGCATCATTTAAATTGTTTATGTAATTGGAAATATATACAGTACAAAGTCCGTAATCCGGACGCCCATTATTCAGAATGATCTATAATCCGAACCTCAAAGCTACAAACTTTTTTTTGTATGCTTTACGCATGCACGTTTAATGTATAACAGACAGTATAAGCTAGGCTAAAATTAAATCTTTACTGATTCTAAGGCATTTCGGTTAATGTTGCAAATTGCGCTGTTCCTTAATCTTCTAATTGGATCCGGCTTATTATTTTTTGCAGACTGTTAGAGCAATTTTATAAAAATTAAGCTTGAACTTTCGATTATGTCAAAAAGAGTTTCCAATTCTGGAGCTGCCAAAGGATCTACAAAGTGAAAGCATGTTTCGATTTTTGTCCATCAAACAAAAAGTGGAATTGCTGCAAAAAATGGATAAAAGCATATCTGTCTCAAAATTATGCAAGGAGTATGACATTGGAAAGTCAACTGTATATGACATAAGCAAAAAGGAAAGGGAACTTTTCGAATTTTTTGTGGATTCTGACACCATACATGCCATGAATAACGGAAAAAGGGTTCGTTATGCTAAAAGTGATTATCATGACAAAGTGATGATTGAATGGGTCTGACAGACTCGCAGCGAGGACGTGCCATTGGCAGGTCCAATGCTAATGGCTCAAGCCAAAATATTTCATGAAGAAATGAACTTAAACACTGAGTGCACATATTCGACAGGTTGGTTAACCAAATTTAAAAATTGCCATGGTATAAGACTATTAAAAATTTCAGGTGAAAAAGCTTCAGCTGATACTAAAGTTGCTGAACAATTTGCAGATGAATTCATTTAACTCATTACTAGTGAACAATTATCTCCGGAACAAATTTTCAATGCTGATGAAACTGGTCTTTTCTGGCAATATGTACTGTGAAATACCTTGGCAACCTCTACAGAAAAGGCTCCAACTGGTGTCAAAGATTCCAAAGCGAGACTAACAATTTTACCATACGCAAATGCTGCAGGAACGCACAAGTGCAAACTTTTCGTAATCGGAAAATATGCACGACCTCGAGCATTTAAAGGAGTAACGATTTTTCCCATTATATATCGCGCAAATAAAAGCATGGATGACACAAGCGTTGATGAATGATTGGTTTAAAAATCATTTTATACCCGAGGCTTGGCAACATTTGAATTCAGTTGGTTTACCTGATGACTCAAAAATAATCCTG